AATAGGATACGGAAATTAATTTGGATATTTAGGAAACTAAGACATGTCACCTCTAAAAAATTACTAAATCAAATATATATTGCATTAGCACAATCCATAATAGGGTACTGTATCTCAGTCTGGGGAGGTGCAGCTAAAACAAAATTATTAGAAATCGAAAGAAGTCAGCGTTGTTTACTCAAAGTTATGTATTTTAAACCATTTCGTTTTCCAACTGAAGAACCTTACAAGTTGTGTGAGCTTCTTTCAATAAGACAGATATATATTCTATCAATAGTTTTACGGACACACAAATCTTTGCCTTTTAACTCTGAAATAATGACGAGAAGAAGAAAAGATAGGGTAGCAGTAACTAGATAAACGTAAAAACCAAATTTGCTCAGCGTCAGTTCTTATCGCAATCTGCTCATCTCTACAATAGGCTGAACAAAGATTTGGATTTATATCACTTGAACACATACAAATGTAAACAAATAGTTACAAAGTATTTATATACTAAAACATATAACGACACAGAATGTTTATTGCAATATGCTAATTGATTTAATTTTATATTTATTATGTTGATATGTTGAAATAGGTTTTGGTGAACGAGAACTGTGACAATTTATACGAAGTTACACATTCATACTCACACAATACACATATATTTTTACACAAACACACACACACACACACACACACATACATGCGCGCGTGCGAACACGCTCTCATGCTTTTTTATTGAAATTCAGAATTAATCTATTTCAGGTAATATGTAAATTGAAAGTATTGATTGTTGTTTTGCCTTGTTTTTCACTCTAAACTAATGTTAACATTAATTATTTTTATAAGTGTTTTTCCAAATTGTCTTCACAAACACATTTAAAGATATTTAGTAAAGTAAGGAAGAGCGGGGCCACCTGGCACAAGTATTATTATTACTTAATACGATGGTCCCAACCTCTGTTTACAGTTACAAACCATTGTGTTGTGAAATAAAGATTTTTTTGAAATTTGAAATTTTGAAAAGCAAACGACATATTAAAACTCAAACATTTACAACAAATAAACATATATAACTTTATTATTTTCAGTCATATAATTTTATATATACATATTTTATAATACACTTTTAATGCTGCCTTACTAACTAATTATGTTATGAAAAAATAAAATTAACCATAAAGAATAGAATCATGCAATGATGTGTGTAACGCGGTATCTATAATATCTATCTATAATATCTTATAGTCACTTATTTTGCTTCATTCCTTTTTAAGTGGAATATTACGGTAACTCTGTATAAAAACCTGTATCCAGTGCTAATCTGTATCACACACCGAAAATCTGTATAAATACGGGGAAATCTGTATATATGGCAACACTGGCCCTAGCACGCTTTGTGCGGCCGTATTTATAGCGTGGTGGACACGTGTTCACCGGTTCAGGTTAGGTATTTAATTATGTGAATCATCGCGCGGCGGACACGGGTTCACCGGTTCAAGTTAGTAGTCCAGGATCCATCGCCCATTTTTGAACGTGATTACTATCAAGCTAATTTTCCGTGAGTAGCTTTATTTTGATGAGACGCCCAATAATTTCCTGTACGAAACTCTCGATTGTGGTAGCTAACAGAAGTAGCAAGGATAAAATATGTTGATTTGATGATTCTCAAATATTTATTACTAACTGAATTTGTTTTGTTAAATCTCAAGATAATTATCTAAATTATTCGAAAAAAATATTTGTCGTACAAAATCTATGGTTTGATCAAAGAGTCCCCTCTATCCAATATGTATCGATAACGAGATCATCATAAATGATTAGTAACCAGCTGATTTTTTTTGTTTTTACTTAGTTAATATTTATGTAATTTAACAGACATATTGTCCTACAAATTGCGTGGTATGTTATCCTGGTCCTACGCTCAGAAGTTGTTAATACCACAAGACCATTTTTTTCATTACTAACTGTAGGACAAAAATATTACATGATAGGTTAGTGTGTTCTCTGCCCAAATGAAACATCGTCCTACAAGAAAACAGGTATGTATTATTAGTCCGACAAGAATTGCCATTTTTTCGTTTTTCTATCTGTAAAATAAGATAAAGTGAAAAAAGCTTTTTTAAAATTTAAATAACTTTATTTTTTAATAAACTTGGTACAAAAATTTATGTATATATATATATATACATATATATATATATATATATATATATATATATATATATATATATATATATATATATATATATATATATATATATATATATATAAAAGAAGTTAATCTTCATCAAATTCATCTGATAAATCTTCGCTACTAACATCGCTGTCATCTTCTATTTCACTTTCCTCACTCGTAATATCTGACTCTGTAATAACATGAAAAAATTAAGTAAATTATATAATACAAATAAATTATATAACTAGCAAATAAAAAAAATTATTTAATTAATTAACCGTGAAGTGCATGGCAATGGGTCCGGTTCTACATTTTCAGCGGACGTTAAAGATATCGAGGAATCAATGATTCCAGTAGATTGAGACGCTGATGATGTTGAAGCTGGCTCAGTGCTGTGTATGAGAAATTATTAAAAAAAATTAAAAATTGTTTATTTGAGAAACACGCAAATAAATACAGTATCTACATAGATATCACATAGCATCATCGATATTGAAAAAATTATTCCGTATTAAATTAATATTTAGTCAAATAGTCATACAAAAATATAAATTTAAATGACAAAAAATTAAATAAGAAAATATGTAGAATATAATATACTATCAAAAATTATTGTTTAAAGAATTTAACAATAATACAATGCTACAATAGAATGTTACAATGCTAATGCTCGATTTTACATAATTATGTGAAAATATGAACTTAATAAATTATTTTTCAATAATTTTAAAAATAAAGTAAACAAATATTCGATCGACTTACCTTTCATAAGACACCTTTCTCTCTTTTTCTCTTTTCTCTCGAAAAGTAAAACAGTAAAGACCTTTTTCTCTTTTCTCTCGAAATGTAGGGTTTTCACAAAACAAATTACACAAAAAACACTCCATATAATTATTTTCCAGCACAAAAAACATTTCTTGAAATAATTTCTCAAGACAAAATAAAACACGTGGTCGACTGAGAAAATGTTTGCAGGCTTATGGTCGACACTAACGTGGGATAGCTAATACGGAGTAAGCAATGCTCTGCGCATGCGTACCGCCGTACCGGTGTGACTCAGCTGTAGTAGCAAAATACAGAAACCCAAGCGACACAAATTTTTTTACTACCTCTGTTAGCTACCACAATTGAGAATTTTCGCATAGGAAATTGTTGGGCGACTCATCGAAACGAAGCTATTCACGAATATTCAGCTTGATAGTAATTATTTTTACATCTAGGATCTGTACTACTACTTTTGAGCGTAGGACCAGGATAACGTACCAAGCAATTTGTAGGACAATATGTTTGTTAAATTATATAAATATTAACCAAGTAAAAACAAAAAAAAAACAGCTGGTTAGTAATCATTTATGATGACCTCGTTATCGATACATATTGGATAAAGGGGACTCTTTGATCAAACCATAGATTTTGTAGGACAAATATTTTTTCGAATAATTGAGATAATTATCTTGAGATTTAACAAAAAAAAATCAGTTAGTAATAAATATTTGAGAATCATCAACATATTTTAATCTTGCTACTTCTGTTAGCTACCACAATCGAGAGTTTCGTACAGGAAATTATTGGGCGTCTCATCAAAATAAAGCTACTCACGGAAAATTAGCTTGATAGTAATCACGTGCAAAAATGGGCGATGGATCCTGGACTATAGGTACCGAATTATGTGAATCACCCGATATTTACATTGTAATATTCAAACAGTGATTAACTAATGGTTTATGAATTATTTTTAACACAATCAAATTATTAAACAGCGTAATTAATGATTAATCCTTGTTATAATCGACGAACTATTGTTGTTGCGCCGATATATAAAAATTAAGCCAAATCTTTCCTACAATTAAAAAGACTCACGTCCAGGTGTGTAGACTTCGGACAGATAAAGAAGTAATAATACGTTCGAAAGTAGTTTTGCCCATTATTTTGCAAATCGCTGGTCTTCAATTTCCATTTTTTCTTTTTCTTCGTTTTTATTTTATATTTTTTATTAAGAAGAAGCTGCTTCCCATCTAGCTCCTGGTTTATTTCCCATTTATCTCCTGAATTATTTCTGATATGATTATTAAATAAAAATATAACCTTCACGTGCACAAAGAACTGTATTTATTAAATTCAGATTATTGAGATATGTAAGGATTACAAATAGCGGACATCGCCAATAAAAAGGAAGGAATAAAGTATACAGTGTCAATATCATATCAACTTAACAAAGAAAAGTTCAGTATAGCCAACCTTAAATAAATGTATAAACATTGCCATATTCAACAATTTCCCTCTGTCGTCTCTTACGACATCCACGAGTCAGTAAAAAGCCACTACGGCTGTTCTACCACGACCGCTGCACAGTAGTTTCAATTCCTGTTCAGTCATTGTAACTTATTTAATTATTTTACTATCTACAAGTACACTTCTTCAATATATTTTTTTACTAGATCTCTAGGATTGAATAGTCTAAATCAAATCTAATGCTTAAGTAAAATTCCAAGAATTCCTTCCCTTTTTTATAGGATAAGAGTGACAGACACAGTCCAACTGATGGTAAGTGGATGCTGTGGCCCATAGAAATCTTACATTGAACCTTGATTAAGAATCAAAATGCAGATGCGTTGTCACCCTTAAGGACTAAGATGGAATGCCTCGATTCCAGTAAAACGGGTCTCCAATTTTCTACACTCACCATACGCATTAAGCTGCTATTTTACCCTGGTATTCTCTGAGAGCGTGGTCCTTTCCCGGTCGAGCCAACCCAATCATGCTACAACCATAATATAGCAGCGTGGCTCTACCACGTAAAAAATTCTTATTCTTATTCACGTTTTCATTATCCCAGGTCTAGTCGTACAGTTGTCACAAGAGCTCTACGAATTCCTCCACCAGCTGGAGGAGAGGCTCACGCACACGATCAAGTCTGTGGGCAAGATCCCGCATTCGTTCTGGCGCTCCTTGAACACGGATATAAAGACCGAACCAGCCGAGGGCTTCATCGACGGAGACCTCATCGAGAGCTTCCTCGACCTCAGCAGAGACATGCAGCAGGAAACTGTACAGGGTCTCCAGGTTGGTATCCGGCTTCCATCAATCCACTCCAAGCTATAAGTATAGACCTCCTCCATAGATTGGTTTATGGTGTTCTGACGTTGATTTTGCCACAGTTTATGGCATTAGTTTTGAAATGTTATCAGGAAGATGCTGCCGCCCATCTCGTTTCAGTTTCGCACTGTCGCCTCTTACGACAACCACCTGACTATACGGGGTAGCGGATATTCTTACACCTAAATTACACGGTTCGGTATCCGGCTTACTCAGAAATAATTATCATGAATTAATCAAAGATTTAAATAGTTAGATGCACCTTCACCTTGAAAACTGTGCCATTATTTTTGGATGTGTTCGTTTGCAAGACGCTGACGTTCGCACACTAATGCAGTAGTGTCATCTCTTATTATCTTACAGAAATTGTGTATACTACTTTCTCTGTCGCACAAATGAGCACGGATTGCGAATGAGTGAGCTCACTCATTTGAGAATGGACACATTTCGGAGTGGTCATACTATGGTAAGGGCGCATCTAACTATTTAAATCTTTGGAATTAATGAAATTTGTTACAAGCTGACAGTTTGAGATAATGTATCACTATATGAGATATGTGGTTTCATCTAATTTCAATGGAGAACAGATGGAGATGTCTATGACAAAAATGTCACCATTTATAGGTGGTATTTTTTTTAATGAAACTGCAGTGAGAAACGACTTGCACTTCACCTGATGGTACGTGGCTACTTTAGTTCGTTGACGCCTGCTGCCAACTTCAAACAAAGCTAGAGGTGCGTTGTCACCTCTGAGGACAGGACATGATGGAATGTCTCACAAGCTGTAATTATACTGGCGCTCTTCAGATCGGAACACATCAGTGCAAGCACTGCTATTTGACAACAGAAACAGTTAAAATAATGGTACCAACCTAGGCGGACTCCAGACAGAAAGGGAGTCCACAAATAGTGGTGGAGAATGGTATATTTTGCATTTCTATGTCGAAAGAAAAGGTGACAATTTTGGAAGGATTTTTATATTTATGGTATTCTTAGTCCATAATAACCAGGAATAGCTCTCGAAAAAAGTCCCCCAATGAGAAACTCTGCCATAATCGCCACGCTTAGCAAGCGTATTGGAAATCGAGAAACTTTGCCATAATGACCACGTTTCGCAAGCGTGGTCATTATGAATGGTGATTATTATCTTAGTATTTTAGTCCAGTCAAATAAGGTCCTAAATCAAAATTTTGACACTCAACTTTGCATTTTTGCATAATTTATAATTGTGTTTTAATGATACAAAACCAATGTGTAAAGGTTTTCGTGTCTGCAACCCCTGGCAAAGGTAAAAAATGTGCTTTTTCGCAATTGCTCGAAAACGGTAAAAAGTTAGACAAAAAAGTTCTAATAAAAATGTGAAGAGCTTAAATTTTTACACAAAAAAGGTTTTTTGTTTTGTTCCTCGTCAAAATTAACTCACTTACAGAGGTTTTAAGTTTAAAGGATGAACGTAAATTTTAAAAAATCGTAGAAAGTAGAAAAATAAGCGATTTTTTTAAATTGTCTAAAAATCTAATTAAATTTAGGGATACATATGTTTTGTTATTGTTAAAAAAAATATAACAATGAAATTTGAATGCTCAAAATTAATGAATTATTTATTTTTTGCACTTACTAATAAATTTTTATATTAATTAATTTTTGCAAAACTAGATTCATCGTAAAATTTCCTAAATTTTACGATTACAAGAAAAATAAAATATTAGAAAAACATCGTTAAATTTTAAATAAAACTTTTTTATTTAAATGAGTAGTGTTCTTATTTAGTTAGTGTACTTATTTTTAATAAATAAAAATGTTAAAAAAATTACTTCCTGGTTTCGGGTTCGATCAAGAAGTAGGCAAGAATAACCTGATCTATTTGAATGAACAGACCTTAAAATAAAGAAAGTGAGAGAATTAATTCTCCGATGATGCCTTCCCACTCCTACTCGGACCTCGTAATGCCGGAAGCATGCGCAATACTTATCATCGAGCACCCAAGTTACCACCACCATACGAGTAAGGAAGTAAACAATGGTCCTCCCTTTTTAACTCGGGGCTTAATACAACGGCGTAGGATTTGAAAAAGAAATTATACCTCTATAAATTCACACCTGCCGAAATATACCAGGATAATTTTCATTGGTAAAATTTAGGAAATTTTACGAGGAATATAAATATGGCAAAAAATAAATATTTCATTAATTTTGTAAGCATTCAAATTTCAATTTCAAACCGTTATATTTTTTTAACAATACCTCTCTAAAATGAAAGATTATATGAGAATATAAGAATCACTGATTCGGTTAATTTTGACCGGGTGAAAAAAATCGTAAAAACTTTTTATGTAAAATTTTAAGCTTCGAGTAATTCTTAAAAAACACTTTTGATAATTTTTTTTCGACTTGTCGGGGATTGCAGACAAGAATTTCAGACCTTACTTGACTGACAAACAAAATGGTCATTGATCATATTGTATGTCCATGCGCCCCCCCCCTCCCTCCTTCCTAACAATCATCATCATCATCATCATCATCATTACAGCCCTTCACAAGTCCACTGCTGAACATAGGCCTCCCCCAAGTAATGCCACAAAGCACGGTCCTGAGCCACCTGCATCCATCGACTTCCTGCATGTCTTACCAGGTTGCACTCCATCTAGTGTGGGGTCGCCCTACACTACGCCTACTGGTACGAGGCTGCCACTCGAGAACCTTTCTTCCCCATCGGTTATCGGTTCTTCGAGCTATATGGCCGGCCCATTGCCACTTCAGCTTACTAATCCGTTGGGCTATGTCGGTCACTCCTAACAATACCTAAAGGTATTAGTGATAATAATTTTGTCGGTTGCAGATCGACGACGGCGGCGGCATGATGCGAGACGCGACAGTGGACGACCTCATCAAGATCGTGGAGGACCTCACCAGGATACACTAGCCCGCACTTGTTCATATCTCGCTCAAATAAATACTTTACGTACTTTATTTTTACCTTACTTTACTTTTCCTAAGGTTTATTTCTGTATTGTGGAGGCAGTTTACAAATATAAATTCCACAAGGACAAACATCCAGACTCGGAACAATTATTTGTAGGCCATACAAATATTTATTCCGTGCGGGATTCGAACCCGCGGCCCTTAGCGCAGCCACTCATTGCTAAGCCACTGCGCCAGAAAAATAACATTTCTTCTTCTTTGTCCACTGCTGCACCTACGTATGCCTTGGCAGATGGCTTGAAAATCTTATATGTGATAGAGCCATGCTACAGCTTTATTATGTAGTTGACTGCCTCGTTGTTTAGTGGCCGTTAATGCGATTGCTGAACCTGGTCCTGAGGTCCTGGGTTCGAATCCCGAGTCAGGACGAATTAGTTATTGGGTTTTTCAGTCAAGAAATTCTCATTAGCAAACCAGTCACAGAATTGGCGGTGTTTCACAACCCATGCCACGGAAAGCATATAAAGCCGTTAGTCCTACGCCTGATTTTCCGGTCGTGTCGGATTACCATCCCTTCGGGCTATGAGAGTGAGCGAATAGTGTATCTGTGCTTGCGTGTACACTTGGACACTAAACCTGTCCTGCGCAGATGGCTAGTTTACGTTTAGACTGGCCACTGTGACTGAAATTCTGGAACATATATTGCGGTTGCAGCACGAATGGATCGGCTCGAGTGGGAAGGACCACGATCTCACAGAATAACAGCGTGAAATAGTAGCTTAATGCTGCTGTGTTTCGTATGGTGAGTGTAGAGAACCGGAGACCCGTTTTACTGGAAACGAGGCATTCCATCTTAGTACTCACGAGTGACAACACGTCTGCATTTTGATTCTTAATCAAGGATAGATGTAGATGTCTATGGGCCACAGCATCCACTTAGCATCTAATAGACTGTGTGCTCGTTTGTAATTTTTATTTTATAAAAAAATCGCAATACTTGCATCTTTGGCACTGCTTAACGTTGATTTGAGCTTTTTATAGTGAAACGACATGGTTGCACCGCCATCTATTGAAAGCTATAAAAATGTTCCCAGCTTCTCTCATAGCCTTTTACGACAACCACAGGATGAAATAGGTTGATTTTTGATTCCGTTACGATCCAACTAGTTGCCAACATTCCATATAAATTCTTAATCAGTTATTTAATAGCTTACTGCTGGACACGGCCTAACTCGCGAGCTGAATTGCCAAAATCGCCACGCTTGGCAATATGGTATCGCATTTTCAGGGCTACTCGGTATCCACCCTAAAAGAGCCACCAGGTTACCACCAATATACGAAATCCAGTAATTGGATTTCGTATATTATTTTTCTTCCACTTTTCTCCCTCGGCTATGTACAGTCGGTTAAAAAACATAATAAAAACTGGCCCAAGATACTCAGTAGACATTACATACTTACCCATAAAAGATATATACATACTTTTTGTTTGAAAGGTTAAAGCTGTAATAAAAGGAGTGCTTCACGGGTCTACAAATTCATTGGAATCTTAGCATAAAACAATTTCAAATGAAATTAAAGACAAACATCCAAATTTAGTAAAGTTTTTGGAATGCTTGTAATAAAACGTCCAGTTGTACATAAAATATAAAATTAGGTCTAGTCAGTAATTAAATTAGCGTTCGTAATTTATAAATTACGTAACAATATTTAAAACACGCGTTTCCTTGTATCCACCCTAGGATGGATATAAGGAAACGCTATATGATATATAGGATGGTGTTTTACATCTGACTTGTATAAGATAGATATGTTATCTATCGAAGGGGACCTAAAAACATATGGATAATAAATTTAGCAATGTTCTAAATATGAAGGGTTCCAAAAATACCGTTTAGGTGAACCGCTAAAAATCGGCTGTATTTAGTATCGGTTCACTTTTATTTTTTATCGGTAAACAAGCCAACCAAGAACTACGAATTACTTTCATTGAAGTCATATAATGATATTTTCGGTATAAAGACATCATGTAATAATTAAGCTGAACGCAGATATAACGCTATGAAGACTTCCCTCTTAGGTGTTTTAGAATCGTCATCTTATATTCCTGATACCTTAACTGGAACCAGAATCCTGAATGAAGAACCGTACCGAAATTTGATTTAAACTCACTGCTTACACATTAAATGATAATATTTCCCTTATATAAAAATGACATAATATCATATATGATAATATAAAGTATATGTAAAAATATGAATAAAGTAATCAAAAGGTAAAAGCTCAGCTTAAGATATAATGGTCCCATACCGTGCTTGTTTTCAGCGATACCCGTTTCCTTGAGATCTCGTGCCAGAAGTATGTTAATATAATAACTGTAACTCGATGTGTACGTGAGTGCGTTTGTGCGTGTGGGTGCGTTGAGTACTATTTCATACGGCCATGAATGTGATCAAATGCTTTTATTGAAAGAAATTTGTATAATAAAATCATGTGTCAAACACATGATTTTACTTATCCACTATATTTTACCTGTCTACAGGCTACTATGACCTTTCAAATGGTATATTTCATTTCTCGCCATTTATAACAAGTACTACTTATAAGGAAATAGTCCAATTTTCGATGTTCACTTATTAAAATAAAAATCTCATGCAGTCGCATGGGCCCGGCAAATCGCGATCGGTCGCATGCGACCGCACTCACGCACAGGACTTAAAACCATTAAAACTTATATTTAGAAACGACTTCTTCAAAAACTAAACTAAAGTCAGATTTTACTTCATTACAAAAAAAGATTTTGTTGCATTTTGATTAAAAAAAAACATCAAGCGAATGTCGGCAGCGTGAAAATCACAATTATTATTTTAATATATGTTACTCGAAATTATTTAAGGAAAAAGATAAATTATATTCACACAAAAACTTTCATTGCAATTTTATAACAAACCACAACACTCCATACAGCCTATAAAGTTCACAGCTGAACATAGGCCTCCCCCACATATTGCCTAATAGGAGGGATTGCAGTACTTACCACGATTTTCAGGTGGATTAGCAACGCCTTTTTTATTTTTATCGTTATCATGATATGCTGTTACCCATCTCCTGCTTTTTTCCCTCCGTCGTCTCTAACGACAGCCACGAAGATATGGGATAGTGGAAACTCTTACACCGCCGCTACAACTGTATATGGGCGGTGTAACAACATCTGCTCACTTTCGCTAATGTAGTCCGTACCAAGTACTTTTCTTTAATGTAAATAATATATGAGCGTTAATTTATAGTACAGCTAATGTCTTTCCATTGCTGGCCAAGAGAAAACTTGAGCGGTTTAGTGAGCTATGGCAAGAGCTATGCTTCGTTTCTCTGCATGATAGAATACGTAATGAGTATAAGCTCAGTACGAATTTGTTTCGGTACCGTAATTAAACAAGAACCGGAGACCATTTATACTGGTAACGGGGCGCCCTCTATCTTAATCCACGGGAGTGACAACGCAATTTATAATAATAAATCATAATCAACGATGGATATTGTATAGATGTCTATAGGCTACACAGTATATCACCATCTGAACAGTGTGTTGGTTTACCACAGTCAAAAAATGCTCGTGTTAATGTCCCGCATATGTGACAATTTACCGGAACAGTTTGTATTGTATGAATAAACGCTAAGGGCAACATTCTTATGCTATCTATGGGTAAGTCCACAGTGCAATACAGACAGATAAAAAAATTCCACGAGCATATTGATTAAGGCTGTTGGAGGTGTTGATGTTTGCGGTTTAGCATCCGCATTTTGCAGGTAAGGCTTTTGATGCAGGTAACTCGGAATCGCGGTTTTTGACAATCCTAAGGGGTGGTAAAATAACACAACAAATAAAAGTTATATTTTAATATAATTACAGCTATGCTATGTTTAATAGTCCCAAATATATCATTCACCGTCATTTTACATACACCTGGAAAATCCAAAGTCCAATTTTAGCACATTAAACAAAAATTTAAGCGACAGTAGCCTAATGGCAGGGCGCGGACCGCGAACTCAAAAAGTTCGCGGGTTCGAATCCGCCATTCGACTACTGGCGTGAACCACTCGTAACACAAGCAATTAAAGCTTACCACAAGTGGTTAAGGGGAATATTAGTAATGTTTATAGCATTGTTAATATTCTTTTTAAAAAAAAAATTAACCATACATCAAAAATAAAATTATTAACATAAATGAAAAGGATATTTAAAAACAAAAATGGACTCAGCAATATAAATTATCTCTTAAATGAAAAAAGTTACTGTATTATTTCCATAATAAATGATCGTGTTCAACTATTACATTATAAAAATACAAACATCTGCAGGCAATAATTTTTTGTCAGAAATAGTCCACCACGATACTCTAATGCGAGTTGAAATTTACATTCTTATTTTTTTATTCTCAGATATATAGGTTTCCTCACGATATTTTCCACTGAGCATGTAATGGTTAAAATATCTGGTTGCTTGTGGAATTTACGAGGAGGGTCCAACTCCTGAGTTCCTACGGCCTTTTTTTACATTTGAGAGCAAACTAATCCAAGCCCGCCCGTTTGTAACCGAATTTAAGTAGTGATCGCCACTTACGAAGACGAATATATAGTGACATTGTCAACAAGGTAAGTTTTTATAAAGATTGTTCATAATTTTAAGAAATGAATTCTGACCTCTAGTTCAGTGTAGCTTGAAACAAAAGACAAACAAAAATTTACCCTCAAATCAGAGAATTCCGTTAAAGTGCTGGTAGAAGTTTCTTATTAAAAAAAATTTGCGGTTAAATTAACAGGCATTTTCAAACAACACTATATGCCTAGTATATCCATATCATAATAATGACAATGGTCCTTAAAAGTGAGCATAAATCAAAAGGACACAAATCACAAAGAAACATTATACAACAGAGATACACTAGTCGAATTATATAAATAAATTATTGTAATTCCATGATTAGCTAAGTTACTGTATACTAAGCAATACTGTATTTAATATACCATATTTACCAATAGCACATGGTTAAGTAGCTACATAAAATTATATATTACAGTAATAATATAAATTATTCCATAAAATATATTAAAAATGTAAAAACTAGTTACTAGTATTGAACGTAAATCTTGGATAGTGTTGGAAATTGTGGGAGGTGCTCTTCAAACTAGGTAAAAACATAACAATTTATTATTCACGATCCACCGTCTTATTAATTTTCACATCTTTAATGTAATAAATTTTCGTAAAGCATAACGCTTATTTCTATTAATAATTATCATAAAATACACCAAAACCTAAGTTCGAATCTTAGTAAATTCACCCCTATATTCAGATTTGGCTATAACGATCAAGTACAGAACATTACAGCAGTATAAACTTTTATTTTAAGTACATACAACTAAAATTTTAAACCGTAACGATCAAACCCGCAAACTGACAAAAATAGAGGCTCTTTTTTCATTTTATTTCCAATTATCAGACTTCTCTGTAAAATAACAAGTAATTCAAAAATCTACATTCAATTACCTTTAATATGATATACAATAGTCATATAAATTAAGAGATATAAAATAATTCTAAATTTTTGAATTATTTTCAACAAGCTGTAACTCCGAAAAAATTATCATACAGCAAAGAAAAGCAAATTGTAGCTCCAAGTGTCTTGCTTTCAGATCTGGCCATGAAAACTAGACACTTGGAGCTTACAATATGTTTCTTTCTGCTGAACGATCATTTTCCTCGTAGTTACAGCTTATTTAAAAACATTAAAAAATTTAGAATTATTTTATATATCTTATTTTTTATGACTAGTATACTCGTACATAACATAATAAGATTTCCGAAACACGAAAAATGCATTTTGAAATCTGAACAATGTTGTGTTTGTAGGATGGATAAATTCTACACATAAGGGCCAACTATAAGTTAAATACATTATCACTGAATTACATGCCAATAGATATCATACCAGTGTATAAACCACTAAGTATTGAACTTGTGACCTCAAAGATAACTACTTTACACGTGCTCAACTACCGGTATAATGATATAATAATTTATAATTGATAACTACAGTAAACATAATCATTATAAATATTTATTTTACCATTTTTCCTTTTTTGCACTCGGCACAATGACGTTCATACGTCCTAGGGAAAAGTTTTTAAATTTTAAATCTGAAGTAGTTAAATCTACTCATAAAGGACGATTTACACTTCGACAAGTACAGTAGCGAGTTAACTTGTGAACCTAGCGAGTTAAGTAGAAATTCTCATTTGAACGACAATTAGTGAGTTAAGTAGCAAGTTAACAATTAAGTTGAACGTGATAGCCGGCTGGTCTATTTTTCGACGAGTTAAGTTCTAAGTGTTGCCCACCCGCGCGTTTAATTCAATCGCAAAGAAATTAGCAACAAAATTGTCGTCCGTAACTTTTGTCCTATAGGATATATCTTCAATTTTTGTCATTTAGTCTAAGTGACATCACCGCAAGGTCAAGACGCATTCGTTTCATAAATTTAAAAAATATTTTTAAAGAAAATATGCCCGGTTGTGCATTAAGGTATAGTAGATCACGATATGGAGCAAAAAATGAACATGTTTTCGGTTTATTATCCTAAGAATAATGTATATTTACCAAATATCTTTAAATTTTATTTCTAGCAGAAAGAAAAATTATTGTAATAAAGGCCCTCTGTTATCCAGTAACGTCACTATTTATTTACAAATATGTTAGTAACTGACGACGTGCCTAAAACAGATTTTTATAATACCTTATACATATTTAGATGCGTCACCTAATGGGAAATAGCTAAAATGTTTTTCAGATAAATATTCAGCGTAGTATTGCTATTTTTCGTTAGAGGGCTTAACACACGCACGTGTTCGCGTTTTTTGTATGCAAACGTTGCCAATGTCCGCTCTACAGTATCTATATATTTAAATCTCTGTGTTCAAACGAGCGGCGAATTTAGTTCAGTGCATAAGTTGACAGTATTCGCGTTCGACATTCAAAATATAGAATTAACTAAACTCGCAACGAAGACATTTGAACACTGCTTTCCACTTAACCGTTTACTGTCAACTGCTCTGTAACTAAACTCGTTACTGTACTTGTCGAAGTGTAAATCGGCTATAACGCAATATTTATTTATTCATTTTTATTTTATAATGCAATATTTATTTATATATTTTTATTTTATAATGCAATATTTATGTTTTAGAAGAGGTCACTGTTAGAGAATGACCTTTTATGCTGGCCGCATACACACGTTTTACGTATTCGATTTCCGAATTCGTTTACCGCATTCGGACATCCCAATGCATGGAATCAGTAGAAAATATTATATTAACTGACGCACATGTTCACTTTTTTCCGTACGGAACAAATTCCGAACGTACGTTTTGAATGCAAGCCGGCGCGTTCGGAGAAACCTACAGGAAAAAAACCTAATGATGTCATGCGGAACGCAGCGCTTGCATGCATTTTGTTTGTGTCACACGTTCGGAAATTTCTATTCAGTATCGCGCCCGCGGCGCGATTGGTCATCGGACGTATTCTTTGTATTTGTTACGCATAGAATCGCAACACGATAATGTGTGAGGCAGAAACATTAACATTGACTGTTGAAAAATACCCCTGCCTGTGGAATATCAGACAACACAACAGAGATGTCAAAGATTTGGCCTGTGGAATGGTTGATTGGGACACGTGGACTAAAGTGGACAAAGAAAACAAAGGTAAGATATTTTCTATATACTTTTTAATACAATAGTGCCCACATTTATTCTTGTAAATTATTAATTATCTGGTTATATTGGTACGATATTTCCCCTGCTGGTGTCATGAAGTACTCAGCAAAATTGTCTCTTTGTTCGACCTCGGTTGGATGTGTTGTGGACTACGGAAAGGTATATCTTCGAAGTAATGTGTCAGTGTATCTTCAAATTATGTAACACACATGCAGCCTTTGTTACTAATACTGCAAATTCTGGTGGAATCGTCATACTAGTGTGAAAAATTCTCCATTTATTCGAGATAATACCGAAAGCACATTCCACTACACGTCGTGATCTGCTGAGGCGGTAGTTAAAGATTCTGCGTCGGGCATTGAGATTACTTCTCGGATATGGTTTCATAAAATTGTCATTCAGTGGAAACGCTTCATCGCCAAGAAACACAAAAGGTATCATTGGTATTCGGCAGAGGTTTTGCTTCAGGCATATTAAGGCGATTTTGAATTAACTTTTTTCCAAAATTCCAGTTGTTAAAAATATTACTATCGCTGTCTCTGCCATAAGCACCGACATCTACAGCTATAAAACGGTAGTCAGAATCTACCACTGCTAATAGTACAACAGAGTAGAAATGTTTATAGTTATAAAAGGCAGATCCACTATGCAGAGGAGAAATCAAACGAATATGTTTCCCATCCGCTGAAACTACGCAATTAGGGTAATTGGTTCTTCTATAATAATTTTGAATGCAATTTCTAGCCAACGTTCTTTTAAAGATGGTGGCCTTCATTTCCAAAGGTTGAAAAACTTCCCATATTGCTGTACAGGTTTCCTTAACTACGGCTGATACGGTCCTGCTCCCCATCAAATATTCAAAGTGTAACTCTTCAAAATTTTTACCAGTTGCCAGGAATCTGAAAAAAATATATAAAATAATAATAATTACATTTCAGGTGCTGAGGCAAAGAAAAAATGGACACATGAGAGACTACTTTCGAAGAGACTTTCAAAAAATAAAAGCGCTCCTACAGGCAGTGCCGATAAAAAGGTTAAAAAATATGTTTATGCAGACCTGTTGTATTTTCTTATACCGGTATTCGATAAAAGAAATACCGAAGGAAACTATCAATCCGATGATTTACACAATAATACTTCACAAGAATCCGAAACGCAAGAAGAACACATCGTGGAACAAATAGATAACCACCTCTCCCCCTTTCTCCCCCCCCCATAAAATTAAAAAACCCCCCATACTCACTCCTCCCCCATTTTTTTTTTTGCATATAAATTTTAAAAAAAATTTTTTTTTTGTAGGGTATAAAAAAAAAAAATCCTCTTTTTTCCCCTTCACCTGCGCGTTTTTTCCCTTTTTTTTTTTTTTCTCCTTTTTTTTTCTTTCTTTTTTTTTTCAAACACTATTTATTGTTGTGGTTCACCTTCAACCACCACGTCATCACTACACATCACCTAATCTTCAACATGCCGAGGATACTGAAGCTGCAACTTTTTTAGTTCTACAATCTCAAGGACAAGAACAAGAAGATAATATTGGCAAATACCTAAAGTTTAATCAAGATAGTTGATTGGTTATTTTTATAAATATAGATGTAAAAATAAAAAGAACTTACCTCAAGATTATGTTTAGTTTTTCTTCTATATCCAAAGATAATCTCATGCAGGTATTTTGCTTTATTCATTTATCACGTATGCCATTATGAAGTTCATCAAAAGAATTTATTGACATCCTGTAGAAATCAAAAAACTTATCTGGGTGTACTCGTAACTTAGCTCTCTTCAGATAAAACGGACTCTCGTAGATTCTCCGAGTATTCAATGGATGTACCCAATACTGACGTTTCTTTTTCTTCTTTATTGTCAACAGAAATGCAATTGCTAATAAATCGTTGTCCTCCATCGTCGTGCGTTCACCACGCTATTACTATTTATACTGACGTGTATACATTCCAAATGAAGAAAAACGAATGTTTGCGCTAGTCTCACGGGATTCCAAATCGAAATTCCGCATTAGGAAATCGAATAAGGAAAACGTGTGTATGCGGCCAGCCTTAATTAATTAATTGATATATTCGCCATAGTTGTTACGCTTTGCAAGCAAGTAACAGCTGTAGTATTTTTTATTATTATTGTATTGAGTTTTTAGCAAGAAGATACAGTTGCCCACCTCCTACTTATTTCCCGCTGTTGCTAGCGGTAGAACTGCTTTTCTGCCTACAAGTCCACCACTCAGTACCTTTCACTCTCTCATCTTTTTCTGCAGCCAACCATCAGTGTTTGCGTTTGTTTTCCAGTCTAAATTGTCTAAATATCGAGAATAATTTCACAGGCATTCCCATCTTAGTCCTCAGATGCTAAGATGAGATTCAAATTTGGCTGCAGATGAACTATATATTTGCTTGTCCCTTCAGGTTTATTAAAAAAAATATTATATATCCTTGAATAAATATTTTCTAAAGAACTCCATAAGTTATGAAATAAATACTACTTAATTAAATACTACCTAATAATCAAAGCTAGTGAATTTTTACGTTTTTATATACTGGGTTATTTTTTTACCATCTGGAAAAAATAGGGTGTAACCGGTGAACGGAATAGAAGCCAATGGCACTGGTATTTTACAATTTTTTTATGTTACATTAACATGTTATGAAATCGATCTATCAATAAATACTACCAATTTAAAATATAATTTCGGTACTAAAAATAAACTAAATAAATAAACCAATTAAAACTATCGAAATTAAAATAATATGTACCAAATTAGTAGTATCTATTGATAGATTAATTTAATAATATGTTAATGTAAAATTAAAAAAAAAATGCAAAATATCAGTGCCGTAGGCTTCTATTCCATTCACCCTATTTACATATTACACCCTATTTTTTGCCACACAGTAAAAAAAATCATGTAGTGTATTTAAATTCAATATTAATTTATTGCTATTATGAACTTATTGCTAACATGTGTATACAATTTCATTGTAATATGGACGATTCGATGATTTTTACGTAATACGATAAAATATAATGTTTTTATATAAAATTAAGCTACAATTGTTTCAAGCAATACAATAAAATTGCAAATTTTATCTAAAATTGCTTATTACATTAGAAATATTTTAAAACCAAAAATTTATTTTAAAAAGCTACTTATATTGAAAGGACCTACTTTCTGAACTTGTCTGCCTTATTGTATAGAAACCACATCAGAGCGAAAAGACAACTGGGTGGGCTCGGTATGGGTCCAGGCGAATTCACCATCTCTTCTATCTCCGGAATAGTTTTCTCAACCACTTCTATCAACTCGTCATCTACACCACCCCCTGACAATACACAAATTATTTATGTATTTAATACTTTAAAAACATTTTCAAATTTAATTTATCCTATACCTTTAAACGAGCAATTCTTGTATATATATATAAACAGACAAGAGGAAAAGTTTAGTATATATATAATTGGAATCTCGGAAACGGCTCCAACGATTTTCATAAAATTTAGTGTCCAGGGAGTTTCGGGGGCAATAAATCGATCTAGCTAGCATTTATTTTTAGAAAATGTCCTTTTGTCCGTGTTTTCAGGCAATAAAAAAACTGCTACAATATAAGAAGGTAAATTTTGACATACAGCGTAACGATCGTAATAGCTCAGATGGGATGTCGGTCGGGCGTGATATCGAAGTTCCGTGGTTCGCGTCCCGTCTTGGGTCCGACTTTTTTTCCCTTTTTTTTTTCATATTCCCTTCTTTTGTGAGAAATTTCGAGCCCTTTTTTTTTAGTAATTTTTAAAAATAAGAAAAATTTTAATTAAACTAATTGCACTCATGATTTTCATTCAAATAACCAGTTCAGTTTTTCTTATTATGCCAATAAGATCAAAAAATATTATTCATGTAATTTGTACCTAAATGTAACTTGAAAAAAACCGAGCAAAGCTCGGTCATCTGGGTACTTATTGTTATAAAAGCTGAAGTAAAGTAAATCAGTAAAGTATGTGCTTTCTGAGGCATGGATGTAAAACATAGTAAACTTCTGACTACATTAAGTACTTAAAATGCATTCAGAACTTTTTGCAACTGTGAAAAAAGATTACTTTAATCTAGACATTTATGTTATCTATTTAAGATATGTTAATTTCTGTTATTTGGGTGCAACAAAGGAATAACTAAACAAACTTGAGCTTTTGCAAAACTTATGATGTATTGGATGATGGTGACTTGGGAAAATTTGCAAAACTGATGAGCCCTTTATCCAACATAGGTCATTTACAAGTTGATAATGATAAGTTAGATCTATCTTATCCATACAAATAAATAAAATTTAAATATCTGTTTGTAATGTCAAAAAAACGGCTTTTTACTAAATTGATGATTATGAAATTACTTATAACAAAAAACAAATGTTAAAATTTTTGTTTGTCTACTAGTCTGTTCATTCCAGCTAATCTCCGAAATGGCTGGACTGATTTTGATGGGACTTTCACCAGCAGATAGCTGATGTTTTAAGAAGTAACCTAGACTACTATTTTTAGAAAAAGAATTAGGGTTAACCAGGAAAAAAATAGTATCTAATGCATTGCAACAAACCTTGTTCAGTCTTCATTGCATCTGTAACCTCACAATAAAAGAATGTTTGCAGGGCTCCTTGCACTCCTACTCCCGACCTGTACAAATGTTTTCATATAATTCTGGACCAATCCAATTTTTACTAAAACAAAACTTCTGTCTAGCAACAGTGTCATATGCACCATTTAAAAATGTAAGTGTCTATTCATAGGATAATCAAACAATGAATTTTTTCAAAATGACACCTGAGATTTTGAGTGAGATTAAGAGATTCTATGGGCAGCAGCATCATCGTTGGAGCCACACGCAAGTGTGAGTAACGATCCAAGAGCAAGTCTTACCAGACACTATTCCGATAATATCCCGGACGTCAGTCTGAGTGAGATAAGAATGGCTCTCCAGCACCTTAAAAACGGCAGGGCCCCAGGCGAGGATGGAATTACAGCGGAGCTTCTGAAAGCGGGTGGAACACCGGTACTTGAAGACCTTGAGCAGCTCGTCAAGTCCTTCCTCCATGGTGGCACTACTCCGGAGGCGTGGCGCAGAAGTGCGGTGGTCTTGTTCTTTAAGAAAGGCGACAATACTCTCTTGAAGAACTACAGACCGATATCTCTTCTGACGTGGCTCAGACTATTACGTGCTATTTTCGAGGGTCATTAGGAATGGTCTCGCACGCAGACTCAATGACTTCCAGCCTCCCGAACAAGCCGGTTTCCGAAAAGGCTTCAGTACCATAGACCACATACATACCCTGCAGCAGATTGTACAGAAGACTGAAGAGTACAATCTGCCACTTTGCCTGGCGTATGTGGACTATGAGAAAGCCTTTGATTCCGTCGAAATTTGGGCGGTGCTACAGTCCCTTCAGCGGGGCAAAGTTGACTGTCGGTATATCGAAGTGCTGAAGTGTTTGTACAGTAGGGCTACGATGGCTATCCGAGTACAGAACCAGAGTTCGAAACCTATCCAACTGCAGAGAGGTGTAAGACAGGGTGACGTTATATCCCCGAAACTTCACCACTGCGTTGGAAGACGTTTCAAGCTACTGGACTGGAAAGGATACGGTATGAAAATCAATGGCGAGTACATCACTCACCTTCGATTTGCCGACGATATAGTCCTTATGGCAGAATCGCTGGAGGACCTTAGCACTATGCTCAATGACCTCAATGGTGTCTCCCAACGGATAGGTCTTAAGATGAACATGGACAAAACAAAGATCATGTTTAATGTCCATGTCACACCTATGCCGGTAGTTGTTGGGAGCACTATGTTCGAAGTTGTTGACGAGTATGTTTACCTGGGACAAATAGTCCGACTAGGTAAGTCCAAATGCGACCGAGAGGTCAATCGACGGATTCAACTCGGTTGGGCAGCGTTCGGGAAATTACGACACATCTTCTCGTCAGGTATACCTCAATCTCTGAAAACTAAAGTGTACAACCAGTGCGTGTTGCTAGTGATGACTTACGGATCAGAGACCTGATCCTTCACTGCTGGCCGTATGAGGACGCTCAAGGTCGCTCAGCGAGCTATGGAGAGGGCTATGCTCGGAGTTTCTCTGCATGATAGACTCAGAAATGAGGATATCCGCAGTAAAACCAGAGTGACCGACATAGCCCAACGGATTAGTAAGCTGAAGTGGCAATGGACCGGCCATATAGCTCGAAGAACCAATAACCGGTGGGGAAGAAAGGTTCTCGAGTGGCAGCCTCTTACCAGTAGGCGTAGTGTAGGGCGACCCCCACTAGATGAAGTGACGACCTGGTAAGACATGCAGGAAGTCGATGGATGCAGGTGGCTCAGGACCGTGCTTTGTGGCATTACTTGGGGGAGGCCTATGTTCAGCAGTAGACTTGTGAAGAGCTGTAATGATGATGATGATGATGAATGTTTTGTTATTTATATATTCATTATATATATATATATATATATATATATATTTTTATATATATATATTTAAATTAAAAAAAATAATAAAAACTATTTTTAAAGATATAGATAACTGAACAAAATAAAGTATATGTATGTATATGTATATCTTTCCTTTTACATACTTTATTACTTACTCCTATGATTAGACTATTTGCATCCAGTAAAACATTACACCAATCTTTTAATATCACTAACAGTATGTTAAGGTGCGGCTAGGGTGACATACATCATAATAATTGTTATCATGATAAATATAATGTTGAAAGAATTTAACTTCTAATTCTAAAAATTATCAGATGAATAAGTATTTTTATACCTTATTTAGCCTTTTAATATACCACGGGGATAAATGTATACGTAAACATGGAAACAAACACATAACTAAACAATGTAACTGGTCATAATGATTTTATACAAATACATTATTACAAAGGCAGGCAAATACATTACTATAGCCAACATTGATATAAATAAAAATTGTAAAATGTTTTTGGGTATACTTTATAGGCTTTAGAATTTATATGAGAAATTTTTATTTATTATTTTCCTGATGGTTATATCCTGCTCTGTTCTAAGTCTAATGAAAATATTTATTTACTGACTGATAAATACCTAGCAGTAGAGTACAAATGTGAGACATTTATAGAAAATACAATGCCTTCTACATTGTAGTATTTTTTACCATAGTTGCCTCCCTTGTCAGGCAGGCTTGCAACTGCAGTTTTTTATTAATACGCATCAGAAAGATACTTTAGTTTACCTCTGTCACCTCTTACGACACTTGTGCAATGATGTAGGGTAGCAAGTTCTACACTACTACTACGCGGTGGATTTATCATTGTTTAAAATGTTTGATGAATTTCAAATATGGAATGTTATAAGAAAATGATATTTTGCAGAAATGATTAAATTATTTTACATCACCTGTAAGAAGTAATCCTATGCAAGCCACTTAGTGGCACACTATAGCCACATTCTTCAAGCACCTCTTCTTGAGCTATATGTTCCACAGATTTATCCTTGTCAATGATGCCTGCACACATCTCAAGAGCTATACCCAGAGATGCTGGATATTTACTTGTGTCTATTGTTGTTGATTTGCGATCTTCTGGGCTAATGCAGTTATAGTAGATAGCTATAGTAAGGAATGTCATAGTTTGATATTAGTACAATGTAGTAGAAAAGTAAAAATCTGGTGTTTTTTAACAGATTTTAAAATAGGTAAGACATAGAATTTTGGATTTTGTGTGTATTAGGACAAAAGGGTTGGGTTTACAATTCGGTCGCCTGAATTTGAAGATTCTGTCAATGTAGGGGGTCAAGGAGGTTTATCTGAAGCACCCCCACTCGATTTTTGCTGCCGGAGCAGCATCGAAGTATTTTAAATTATTTTATAAAATATTGGTAAATGACTAATTAATTATGTTTTCATCATTCATTCATCTGTCAATGTCATATCAATATGTAGTACTGAATCGATCTAGTGAATCGATATTTCACCCTAGAAAAACGAGATCGAATCTTTTTCTGTTTTATTAAGATTTGTAAAATTATTTACAATCAGTTGAATGTATCCTAACTCGTAAAGAATGATAGTTTTTAATTCAATCATTCAATGTTATATGTACTTTATTGTATCTTTTGATATAAATATAAACTTTTAACACAAATAAAAAAAGATATATTTTTGCGAAATCGATCTTTAAGATTTCGATTTTTTGTGAATCGATTCATCCAATTTCGATTTGAATCGATTTAAAATATGTAAAATTAATCACTAGGCCTGCCATTTTGTTGACAGCGTTTCATCATGTCGTTGCTTCAGAGTTTCAGAATTTTGGTGAATAGTGAAATATTTGTGGTGGCGGAATACTGCTAAATATCGCAAAGATCCTTTCTTATAAATGGTGGCAGCCATAAATTATATTTATAAATTAAAATGATTATAAAAGTTAATATTTTGGTGTTATATCGAGTGCAATAGAGAGCGAAGCGAGCCTGGGACGTGGAGCACCCCGACTCGGACAGGTTAGGTTAGAAGAGGATGACTGGGTCAAGTGAGCGAGCGAAGCGGCGAATAGACCCAGTCATCCTCTTCGTGGTTATTTTTTTTGTAAACCACTCAGATGTAGGAGCCCAGCGAAGCGGGGCTCCGTCGACCGGACTTCCCTCGACTGCACCACGTTAAGTGGCGTGGGGCTTCCGTCCCCCAACTCTCTCTCCCCATAAATCAGGTTAAAATAATAAAAATTACGAAACATAACCCCAAAATGAGAGTTTTAAAATTTATAAAAAAAACTAACCTCGTCCGGCAGAAAGTGGAAGTAGGGGGTGACTCTACAACTCTTCCCCCTTCCCCCACTCTACCCCCAAATTCCGGCGACCGAATTGTAAACCTTACCCGGACAAACTACTAAATCTTAAGATTGGTTTAATATTTTTTTTTAAATTACGTATTTATATGGAGTACTTACCAGGTCGAAATTGTTTAACAAAAACCATTACTTTCCTAGTGATATTAAAAACGACAATTGCAACACTGTCATGAACTTCTAGTAGATCCCAGCTTTTCTGCTTACCATTCTGTGTGTAATTGAACCTAAAAGGCTTTACATATGGAGAGTCCGGTAAGGGACTAATAAATACGTCCTTGAGATCTTCCATATTTATATAAAAACCAAATATTTGTACTCAGAAACAAGCAACGATAATAAAATCAAACAACTTTTAAATATGTTACTTATTAAGGTAATTCAAACCTATCCTGAACTAAAAGAAAAGAAGATGAATAAATCCATTCAAAGGGTATTATTAAAAGCCCTAAATTGCCCTAAATCGAATGATAATAAAAAAGATTTAAAATTAAAAAATCAAATCGACTGTTTCAATTTGACAGTCACGTCTAGGAGTAATAGTGTTCTGTGGTCACGTCCATGTCACGTCACATCACAGACACAGTTGGTGTTTTTATTATTCGCTCGAAAGAGCAGGCAAAGGAACTAAGCCATACAGCCTTGTCTTTTTATTTTTATTTGAATATATAGAATTTTGAAGTGTAAAGGCCGGAAGCAAGTCTTATTTTTCTTCTTTCCATCTCTTCGAAATCCATAAAGGCCGAAGCCAAGTCTTATATTCTTTAGTTCTTCATATTTTCAAAAATCACAAAGTCTAAAGCCAAGTCTTCTTTATATTATAAGTTTCGATCCATATAGATTTATCAGTCCAGTTTCAAGGTTCCCGCGCTGCGAATTGCGAAGCCCATGGGAGATTTTGACGACAGCTCAACCCAGCGCCCAGCGGAAAGTTGATGACGACAGCTACTCAAGTTCATAAGGCACCTAAGCGATCAAAATAACTTGAGGTTTATATAGACATCAAAGCACTTGTTTCGTCGTTTTCTCTAATAGTTCACACGCGCAGACAATTAATTCACAAAATCACATTACTTTTAAAATCCACTTCTAACCATTATTTAAGCGACAAAACAGGAGCGACAGTCCGTCGTCGCCAAAGTTCCCGCCAAAAATCTCACATCACAAATAATCACAGAACTTTCTTTGATAATGGCACAGAGATAGATTCGTACGGTTGTACTTCTGCCAGTCTCAAGCATTATGAAATTATCCTCTCATCAAAAACATTGTCTACAAAATAATTTGTTTATTTTGTAGACAATGTTTTGATACGTCACATTACGAATTTCTTGGAAGATTTCAACGACGAGCTGTCCATTTTATAAGAGCAATCAGACAATCGATGATGATAGTATCTCAAAAGGCATTATTTAATAATCGGTTTAATCACCTCGGAGCACTTGTTTCATCTTCATTAATAGTTCACATGTGCAGACATTTAATACAAAAAATTGACCCAAAATCATCACCAATATTTCATTCTCCTAATTATGTAATTATGTAAATTAAAGCATTCAAAGAGTTAGGTAGTGAAAGATCGTAAGGTGTAAAGATTTTGTTTTTCCCATGCTTAGAAGCAGAACTGGTAACAATATTATCCAGTATTTGGTTGGTCCGTTCCATTATTATAATCGTTTCTTTAAGTATAAATAACGATTAGTAAAGACAACTACACATTTCCTCAAAAAGGAAAGACCGACTCTTTGGAACTAATATAATATATAACCGATATATCTATAAGCTTGTGCTTGTTTCAAGCATTTATAGAATTTTCATCATTATTTTTAATAAAACTATTTTTGTTTCTGTGTACATACATTAAATGTTCGTAAATATATTAAGAGGCCAGTGCTAGTATATTTATTTCTTTAATTTTTTCTCTATAAAATAATTTATAAAATGCTCTTATGTCTCTTCTGCAAAAGATAGTTTCAATGCCAGGCGTATTACCCATAGCATCTTGCTACATATGACATTATGCTCATGTGAGGATTCTAAATTTTCTTCACAGCTTATGCCGCAGAATTAAGTTTGCCAGTTAGTCTAGTATTACAGATTCGAGGTAAAATTCTTAATAAAAATGCACTCAAAACAAAAATTGTAATATAAATCTTTTATAACACTTTTACAATATTAATCAGCAAAAATGATTTTACAATATTAATCAGCATAAAATTAGGGCATAAGTAGCTATCTAATTCCTAGCACAACCACCCTCTCCGAGCGATCGAGCCAAAGTGACCCTGCAACCAGCTACGGCGAACGGCTTTCTGGGTGCGAAACCCCACCACCGCGGGGACGCAATCATTAGCCACGCCCCCTGTCTAGTCATCATCGCGTAACAAGACCTCTCCTGACAGGCGGTCGCCCGCGTCCGCAATCTTGACGTGTTCGGGATTTGACCTCACCTCATCCTCCTACGAAGTATCATGTAACGAGTCATCAGACTCCACTTAAAGTTAAAAATAAATTAAACACATTAGAATTTATCATTACGGTTCATAATAAGCATACTCCTTACAAAGAAAAGGTTCATACTTCATGACATTACATTCGTTTCTCTTACAAAATCGTTCAAACCATTCATGCACATCGATCTCTGGAGGCCTCCCATACACCAGTTGCTTATGCTACGGTAGTGACTAGTATACCGTGACAGCACCCCTTTTGGGCCATTTGTCCTGCCGTGGTAGAGAATTACACTCGTTACCAAGGTAAACATGAAAAACTCCAAATGAGTAGTCCATCTGCCGTGACAGAGAAAACATCTCAATGTCAACGTGAATATTTATAAGCACATCAGCTTATGCATACAGCAAAACATAAGCGAAACAACTACACGACAGTAAGCGTAATAACATTGGTAACTTACAAGCAAAAAACGCAGCACAAGTCTCGGGAGTCCAATCCCCTGCCCACGGCACCAAGTTTTCAGCTGCAGCTTCAGTAGGCTTCCCGTACGAGCCAGCCAACAGCTCCAATTTGTACCGATGATGTGGAATTCGTTCCAATACCTTGTAAGGTCCCCGCATACAGGAATCTAATTTTCCTCCCGCCGACTGTGAAGCCTTAATCACAAACACCTTGTCGTTTACTGCAAACTCGTTAGGTGATCTACCGTCTTTATTCACATGATCGTCTTCTTTTTACTGGTTAATTGACAATAGTGACGACACTCGTTGTCTCCGCAGTGCCATAAGCGCTTGGCGGTTTTGAGTGGCAATATCTACCGCAACGTCTCGGACAAGAGCATGTATAACGGGGGGTGGAAGAGTCGCTTCCAATAAGCAATTGAATGGGAGACATATTAGTCGTACTGTGTTTTGTACTATTTAAAATAAGTTGGGTCTTCCACAGTACATCAGACCAACTTTGACCTCTATGGTTGACTTCAATACGAAGAAGGTTTAGTAGAGTTCGGCAATAACGCTCAGCCTGTCCATTCTCATGGTGCATATTTGGCGTAATGAAGTGAATGTCGCTACCGAATGAGTTTACCATATCTTGAAAAGCGGTGCTCTCAAACATTCGTCCTCGATCCGTGCCTAGGAGTCTCGGAGACCCAAACATCGAAACCGCGTCAGTAAAGGCTTTTTTCAATTCGTCAGTGTCTTGACGACGGATGCAATACAGAAAGCAATATTTCTTAAATGCATCAATAATATCAATACGTATTTATATCCTTGGTATTCAGGCAATGGACCAAGCGTGTCCATGTGTACTACCGAAAATGGTGTGTCTGGCTTAGTCCAAAATTCGATGGGTTGATGAGGTGCACGCGGCACTATTTTGTGGGATAGACACACAATGCAATACTTGAGAAATTTCCTAATAAATGGGCGTAACCCAGGAAACCAGAAATGACGTAAAATAAGTTCCAACGTTTTATCGTACCCAATGTGGTCTTGGTCATCATGAAACACATGAAGTAGGCTCAGTCTTAACCCCTTGGGAATATAGCATAATAAGCGAGCTTCTTCGCCGATGGGAAAGTAACATATAGGAGTCCGTTTCGTAAGACGTACCGGGAAGAGTCTAATTGACCGTTATTGAGTCTATCGATGAGATTAAGTGTCTCCTCATCTGCGGATTGAGCTAACTTGAATATGACATACCTCTACGTAGTCGGCATGAGACATCAGAGACCCCTTCCTATATTCAAAGGTATACTGGAAGTCTTGAATGGATAACCACCACCTAGCTATACGGGGAAGCAAGTCCTTTTTACGCTCGGTTAGCTTTAAAGAGTTACAATACGTAACAATTTTGAAAGATACACCTAACAGATATTTTCTAAAATTTTGGAGAGCTTTAACTACGGCTAGAGTTTCTAATTCATAAGAATGATACTTAGATTCCGCGCCTTGGGTTGATTTACTAAAATACGCTACTGCGCGCCTAAGCCCACCCATGAATCTGTATTAAGACTGCACCATAACCGATAGCGCTTGCATCTGTATGTACCTCCGTAGGTAAAAGAGAGGGTCATAAATGACAAGGACGGGTTCATTTGTTAAACAGTTGATAATATACTCACGTTATCTTGTTCAACTCCCCACTCAAACGGCATGTACTTCTTAGTTAAACGCGCGATACAAGCTGTTCGCTGGGCATAATTTGGAATATATCTTGTAGTGTTATGCTACTTACATATCATTTTACACTATTTTAAATTTATTTTTCCATTCGGTTTTTGATTTTCTGCATTAGCCTCAAAACTGGATATTTTGAATCACCTTTATTTTCATAGGATCCTGTAACGTTTTTAAACCATAAGAACACAATAACAAATCATTTTCACATCGTATTTTCACGTTATCAGCACTTTTTAAATCGGTGTCAATGGAGTCTACCTTTTTCGGTATTTTATTTAGTTCTCCGTAACTCTGCAATTTAGGGCTTCATGCGCACTGTTGCGCTACCCTTTTTTCTATATCAATAATATCTCATTTTTCATTTAAATCTTGCCGTTTCTCTATTACGAGCCTAAAACCAAAATTTGACATGTTTTGACATCGTTGTTTATCTGGTTGTCATGGCAATTTTTATTCAAATATCGTTACCGGCCTGATGTTTTTACTTCTAAAATACTCTTTTCTTCTTGGCCATTTACAAAAATTTGCTTTTAATTTAAATAATTTCAAATAATTTCTCGTTCTTATCCCAGATCCGTTAAAAAGTATAAAAGCCGAAGAATCGGCCAATAGACGTCTCACTTCAGCTTTGGTACGAGAAGCACCTCTTAAAGGC